CTTTGACATTCATGTGAACATTTAGAAAAAAATGGGCGGACTTTCAATGGGGTGATTGATTAATTAAATACAATACAATATTATTCTCATTTTTCATAGCTCACATTAAAATCCTTATTAGCGTTCCGAAAAATTGAGGAACTTGCAATAATTTGCGTGTCACCTCCCATGTGTAAGTGTTTTTTTATTTATATTGCTTTTAGGGTAGCAAAGCACACTGGGTACAGCTAGTACACCTATAAGAATTTATCAATATTTGACTTAACATGAAATCTATCGTTTCTTTGATTTAATTTCGAAAATAATAAGTTATTTTGAATTGGGTACATGACATATTAGATAATCAATGGATTTTGACCTAGAAAAAATGTTTAGTGGGGTATAAATCTATATATTATAATAAAAATAATCCGGGTTTTTGGTCATTTTGTATTGATAAACAAAAACTACATTACGGAAACTCCATCTATTTGGGGTGTACTGTGTAAATTTTATTTAGAATTGTAGAATATTGATTATTATTCAATAAATCGAACACGAAGTACCATCCTAGCCACTCTAAGTATGGGAACGTCACCATATACCACTATAGAACTATTACATGCTAAAATCTTGATTTTCAACCTCATATTTTTAATGCTTTATTTTATGAATAAGATACAGTAGGCGTATTTGGATCTGGATTGTTATTCTTGATTTGGGTTCTAAATATATATAAGTATATGTATTAGCTGAAAAATATTGCTTTTGTTGACCTTAGGTGATGATAACCATCTCTATTTTAAAATATCTAAATTAAGTATTTTTCCTGTACTACACGACAGTTCACTTTACATTGGTTCCAAGCAACCTAAGGTCTGTTTAGAGGTCTAAATTTAAACATAGTGTTCCTCCTAGTTCGTATATGGATTTTGGAGAAGATAAATCAGGAATCCAATGGTTTTTCTTGGATACAAGTCGCCTCTCTTTGGCAATTAAAGATTTTGAAAGAGCACTCAGTGCGTTTTCTCTAATAATTCATTGGATCATTTCATAAATTACTCTATTTTATATTTCTTAATGATATTGATTAAACATCTCATAATTATATTTCATTGATTTACACTTGTTCTGGAAATCTAAGCTAATTTTTATACCCACCATCAAAAGAGATGGGGGTATATTGATTTTGTCATTCCGTTTGTAACGCATCGAATTATTCATCATAGACCCACAAAAGTATATATTCTGGGTCCTTATTAAATTCTAAGACGATCTACCCATGTCCGTCCGTCTGTCCGTCTGTTGAAAACACGATAGAGTCCGAACGGAATGAGCTAGAGGGTTGAAATTTTCCAGAAATATTCTCTATAGGTAAGGTTTGTTTGGGCTATATGGACTAAATGGGCTATATTGCTCCAAGTTTTCGGATAGCTCCCATACAAGTGGACCCCCGAAAAACTGCCTTAAAGGGCATATATGTTTTAAAAGTGTAACGAAGTGTATGTAAATAAGTTTTATATGATTCAAAAACTACCTGCCAAATTTTATGAGGATACCTCCCATAGAAGGTCCCCTCCATAAAATTACTTTAACGCTCATTACCCGCTTAAAAATACGACTATAGCGATGCAATTTGACATAAGTAAGTATCTTAGGAGCCAAAACCTTTCCACAAAATTTTATGTGGATCGGTCCATAATTGTCCCTACCCCCATAAAGGTCCCTTCAGAAAACTACTTTAACACTCATTACTGGATTCAAAATACGAGTATAGCGATAAAATTTGACATAAGTAAGTGTTTTACTATCAAAAACTCTCTACCACATTTTATGTGGATCGGATTGACCATACTCCCCATATAAGATCCCCAGCAGAAAATGACTTTAACGCTCATTACTAGCTTAAAAATACGAGTATAGCGATGAAATTTGACATAAGTAAGTTACTTTCAAGCCAAAACCTCTCTACCAAATTCTATGTGGATCGGTCCATAAATGAACCTTCCCCCCTCCCTACAAGGTCCCCTTCAGAAAATTAGTTTAACGATCATTGCTGGCTTAAAAATACGAGTACAGCGATGAAATTTGACATAAACCAAAATCTCTCCACCGAATTTTATGTGGATCGGTCCATAATTGACCCTACCCCCATAAAGGTTCCTTCAGAAAATTACTCTAACGCTGATTACTGGCTTAGAAATATGAATATTCAGATGAAATTCGACATAAGTAGATTTTTTATGAGCCAAAACCTCTCTACTGACTTTTATGGGAATCGGCGTATGATTGATCCCCATATAAGCTCCCCTTCGGAAAGTGACATTAAAGTTCATTATTGGCTTAAAAATACAAGTAAAGCGATTAAATTCGATACACATAAGTTTTATACGAGTTAAGATCTCTCTAACAAATTTGGTGCGGATAGGTCCATAATTGACCCTACCCCCAATATAAGGTCTCCTTCAGAAAATTACTTTAACGATCATTTCTGGCTTAAAAATACGTGAACATTTATGAAAGTTGACATCAGAAACGTTTATAGAAACTTAAATCTACCTACCGAGTTTCATGCGGAAATTTCGGTAAAATGCGATAACAGCGATGCTATTCGATGTAAACATGATTATATGAACCAAAATCGGTCTAAAAAATTTTATGAAAAACGATCAGTTAATTTGATGAGTGATCATGATGTTAGGGAGCATTTATTTATTTATATATATAACACTCTTACTTGTTTTATATTGAAATTGCCTCATTATTTTCCTTTAATCATTTTTAAGGCAAATAACTTCACAGTTTCACATATGATTTTTGCAAATTGCAATTAAAAAATACTTAACACGCGTCCTTTTAACAATAAAACAATACATTCCAAAAAGTAATTCAAAAATAATTTGAAAAACCTAAAGAAATTTACTCGAATTCTAAAAATTCAAAATACTTTATTGACCTGCAAATTCTGATGAAAAATAAACAAATGCACCAAAATTTGTATTTTAATATTTTTTTCTTGGTTTTCCCATTTTACACAATCTCTATTTTTAATTGGAAAACATAAATTTACTTTTTACCAGTTTTTTCGAATTTTATTTATCAACAAAAAACAAAATTCTATTAAAAAAATGTAGGCAAAAAACATAGTTGATTCACTGTATGTGTTCAAATCAATTGAACATGTTTTTATACCATTGACCTTCGTAAGAATAATATTTTAATTTAATATTTTCATTTAATTGACATTTAGAGCACTCCATATGAATGCAAAACATCATGGAGAATATTTTTATACACATAACAATCCATTATTTGTTTAATTTCTTAAAATCTGCCATTATTTATTTAGTTTTAACTGCACGGAGTATATATTAAGGTCCGTCTTAAATTGCAAATAAATTCCGATGGCAATGAACAAAAATAATAGTTTATGCTTTAGTTTTTTCTAACATAACGCTTTTTTCAAATGTAACGCTTTTCTGTCATTTCATATATAGTACACTGTAAAGTAGTACACTATACAAGACTAGAAAATGTTGCAAACTTTTCTTTCAGTGCAAAAAATGCAAAAACAACAAGTAAGAAATTATAGTCGGGCCAGGCCGACCATATAATACGCTACACCTGTTACAAAATTAAAATGTGATTTAGTTTTCATAATAAAGCATTTAAGTTGAATTGCACCTTGCCTCAGATATACTTAAGCCATTTATTGTTGAATAAAATTGTGGACTTTTAAGTCAAATTTTGAAGGTAGCTTTGTATAGGGGCTTTGGTCAAATGAGACCCTATAACTATAAAATTTTTGAGGGTCATCAAGGCTAGTAGAGAACTTGGTTTTGCAGCTTTTTGTCGGGATACGAGTATATTAAACATAATTATGAACTTAAGGGCCTAATTCGCCGGGTTCAGTTGTATGGGGGCTAGGTGAAATAATGGGCCGATGTTAACCATTTTCAATAGGCTTCGTAGTCGGTACCATAGAAGATCATGTGCCAAATTTCATTGAATGATCTTCAAAATTGCGACCCCTAGTTTGATTACAAGGTTTCAAGCCCTATTCGGAGGTTCAGTTGTATGGGGGCTAGGTGAAATAATGGACCGATCTTAACCATTTTCAATAGGCTTCGTCCCTGTGACAATAAAATATCATGTACCAAATTTCATTGAATTATCTTCAAAATTGCGACCTGTAGTTTGATTACAAGGTTTACATGGACGGACGGACATAGCTAAATCGACTCAAAAAATGATTCTAAGCTGATTGGTATACTTTAAGGTGGGTATAGGACCAATATTATTGTGCGTTACAAACATCAGCACATCCCCAATATACCCTCCCCACTAAAGTGGTGTAGGGTATAAAAACTGAAGTGGTGTTAGTGAGGCAAGAAAATTTTACGCTCTGCCGATCAGAGATACAAGCCGAGACGGCTGAAATCAGCGGCGGCTGGCCGCCGGTAATATTTTGCAAGCCGCGCCGCCGCCGACTTCTTTCGGCTCAAAAGCTAAAGGCCTAACTATAATATGCTTAAACAAACTGAAGTCAGCTTAAGCAACTGTGCGAACACATATAAAATGTATGTGACAAACTATAATGTACTTAAGAGAGTTTCGTCAAGTTTCGTCAAAATTTATTTGCTTAAGCAAAGAGCGATACTGACAGCACATTACGTACGGAATCAATTGTTTGTTTATTATACACAAAGAAAATAAAGAAAAATAAAAAAAAATACGTTTCAATAATATTTAATTCCAAATAATCATTAGGTGATTAAATGGAAAAATTATTTAATAAATTTAGAATAATGATATCAAGCAGCATACTGTAAATAATAAAACGCAAACCCAATATTTAAAAGTATTTTCAGAAGTATTAATTAAATAAAATTCTACAGTCTGTTCCTAGGTGCTGTTGGGAATAATGTAATCAAATAAATATTTAAAATTTCTTTGATGATTTTAATATAAATGTATGTATCATTATTTCTAAATTAGAAATATGCAATAAATCAACTTACCATCATCTATAGAATGCATAACTAAGCTTTGACAATTAGCTGTTTTGAGACTCATTTCCTCATTGTGGTGCAATTCGTTACCGTCTTCATCAATACCGTCATTATCCACCCTTGTTAAATGTTCCTGAATATCATCATACTCCTTTGTTAAATGTTTGTGACGCTCAAGTGCTTCAGCAATATCATGTATATCAGGTTGTATTATTGATAACGGCGCCGATGCTACATCATCAAATTGATCATTTCTGACTAGTATACCATATTGAGTGTAAGTTGTCGTTACCAAATTAGAAAAGTTATTGTTATGGAGATGATCCGTTAAATGATCGTTCGCCTCATTTGTTACCGCTATAGCCGCTCCTTGTGTTTCGCATATAATATCAGGTTGTGACATTTTTTTGTCAAAATTTAAAAGTTTTGTGGTTTTATTCAACATTAAAGATTATTTGCGTTTACTTAAACTGTGTTTTTAATAATTAATTTTCTCAGCATATCACATTGAAAATGCTGTCAAATTTAATATAAAATTCCTGAGATCGTACAAAGCAATTATAAGCATTTTCAAAATCGACTTCTTTGGTGTGTCTATATTTTGCCCCTAAAAATTAGGAGAATTAAAGAATTTAATTAAAATATAAAAATTAAATAAGATATTTGTTAATTTATTTTAAATATAATGAATATCATGGCATGAATGTCTCTTATCCGGGTATTCCGATATTTAAAAATGGAAGACTGTAAAATATTATTCAATTATTTTGATGGTAAGAGCATGCGCATCGGCGCCAAAGTTTTGAACAGCTTCGTGTCAAGTGACAACTTCGTGTCAAGTGACCCAACTTTTAAAATCGATGTCTGGATGAAATTTGCACCAAGGTTAGTACTATTGGATAGTAGGCCAGACACAAATTTTCAGCTGTATCGGTCAATAACGACCGGACTTAGAGGCGGTCAACGTTGGAGATTACGGTCATAATAGAGTGTTTTATTCAAATGTGTGTAACTTTTCACCTCTTGGTCCTAGCAAAAATTGTCCAAAGGAGTTCAGATAGGTATTTCTTCATTGTTTCCAAAAAAAAAAAAATATTTTTTTAATGGGCCCTTTTTTGCCTAAAAGAAAGCTTATACAATTTCCTTTAAGGGCTTTATAGTCCCATAATGGGATGCGAGTGGGATATCTATCAAAAAAATTATTTTTTAATTTTAGAACAAGATTGTTTTCAATATTTGGCACGTAATTTTCCCCTATTTTTTTAAAATGGACGTTTTTGTTGTATTTTTTTTTTATTTTGCACAAAAGCAAACTCATGCAATTTCCCCCAGAATTATGTGGTTCCGATTACACATAAATAATATCGCCAATTGATAGCACATTGGGGTAAATGGGGTTGGGGCTCTTAATTCAGGGGAAGATAATATTATTTTTTTATTAATATAGTCGTATTTGTGTGTTTATTTTGTGTTAAACAAATTAATTTCTATTATTTTAATGTCTGTCCGTCTTTCCGCGAATCAATTTTAAATATGTTTGTATTAGTGCAAGGTGCAATTTTGAAGATATGTATTATAATAAAACTTGGCACATAGGTTTATATAAGTAAAAGAAGGAAAACATTTCAATTTGGTGGGACTGCTCCCTTATTTCACATATTTCCAATACAAACGGACCTTCCGAATATGGTTTTAAGCTTATTAATACATATGGGCAATTCCATAAAAAGGTAAACCACGACTGAAAAAAATAAAATCCCTATAACTTTTGCATTTTTGAAGATAATTCAACAAAAATTTGTAGCACCAAAGACGAAGACTGTTGTAAATTTTTGAAATCGGTCTATTTTTACACCTCCCCTCATACAAACGGCCCCGCAAATATCACTTTTTAGCTCATAATTCTGTTAATTATAATACTATTCCTTCCAAATTGGCAGATCTATAATGTTTATGATTGGACCTCATTTGACCCTAGTTCCATTCAAAGTTTAATTTCAGAAAAACACTTAAACGTCCGTAACTCACTTATAAGCACTAGTATTATAATAAAATTTGGCACAAATAAGTTTTATATGAATAAAAATCCAACCCCGATCCAAAGGATCGGTCCATATTTGACCCTAGTCGCCATATAACTTCTGTGTTTTAATTTTATCTATAAATTGCTTAAACATGTGTATAGGACGGCCATGTCCGACTGCACTTTCCTACTCCATTTTATTTGTTGAGGTGTGTGTGTGCATATATTTCCAAAATATATATTTTATATCCAAAAATAATCAGGAAAAAAATCTATCACATACGATGTGTCACGTACGATATTCAAAAATGTTCATTATAAAATTATATTGCCCATATGTTTCTTTTATTCGTATCATTATATTATATGTAAGAATATTTAAATGTGTTTATAATATTTAAAGAAATAAAACATACTAACTTTCATCAAAATTGCAAAACAAATAGGAAAAAAACTACATTATATGTTTTTGGAATTTAAAAAAAAAAATATAAAAAAAAACTGATATTACTAACATTAATGTAAATATTTAATTGCTACTTTTAAAACAATAATGTTGAAAATAATGATATTAAACAAGAAAACGTAACAAACTTCTTTGTCTGCACTAGGTATTATAAAAATCTTAATTTCTTAAAATGGGGCAAATATGTGCAGTTTTTTTCTTGAATATTAAAGAAGACAGTATACAGTAATTTTCAGAAATTTTTTCGGAACAAACAAATGCTAACATTTTAAGATGCAATCCATTAAATTTCAAAAACAGTTATTTTTAGACTATTTTTCTATTTTAAAAATTATTTTCCATTTTAAAATATTAATTTTATAATTTTTTTCTTATTTAAATAATATTTGAAAAGTCCTTAGATTTACGTTTTTTTCTTGTAAATTTAAAAAATTTTTAAAATTTGACAGCGCAGTACAAAAAAAACAGTAATTTTTCAGAAATAATTTTAGTGCTACTTAAAGGCCCTTCAGACGATCACACTTTACGTACGACAAGTCTAATGAAAAAGTAAAATGAAATTCCATCTGTATGACAAAAAAGAGAATAAAAGTCGTATGATTTATTTTTTGTGTTTACACGATTAGTATAAAACAATAACAAAGTAAGATGGAAACAGTTGTTTCACTTTTTTTGTATGTGTTTACATAAAAATACATCCCTGATATAATGCGACTTGCTTGTTTTTTGAATCATTTCAAAAAATGAAGAGAGCCATACGACTGTCAAATTTTCCATCCGCATTTTCTCTCAATGTGTAATGGTTTCATTACTTATTGCGTTTAGACGATCCCATCCGATCTCTTCTACACAAAATTTTGACAGATCATATTACTTGTGTGCTCGTGTGAATAGGGCTTTATAAATAATTTTGTATAGTTTTATTTGGTACCTAATTTTGCTAAAAAACACAATTTTCAAAATCCTATTAATCGCCATTTTTGCCATGATTTACCCCATCGTGCAGTGGTGGAAAAAATAATAGAAATGACGTTTTTTTTTCATTTATTTATTTCCAAATGACATTAAGCTCTTTAAGGCCAAATACAATTCATACTTATCTATTTAATAATTAACATTTAAAATATAGAATAGAGCTAAACATTAAGCCAAATCCCCGCTAAGATATAGGGAATTAACATAAAGTTAAAGGTTTTTTGTTAGCGTTTTCAAAATATTAATAATCAGATTAATGCCAATTTAGGGGGACTAAACTCAAAATTTTTTGATTTATTTTGCCTTTGTTTGAATTCAATATGAGAGTCCAAATAGTAAACAAATGTATTTAAAAGTAAAGAAATGTGGATCGAAACAAAATAACGGTACTCCAAAAGTCGTGCTTATTATAGAAAATTAAAATCAATTTTTACCTGCTGCATGTTCCCTAACTTTAAACTATTATACTCTGTTGTTTTTGAAGATGTTTTTAATTTTTCTTTTTGTATTTTTTAAGCTTTTATTATATTTAATAATAGCAATATTTTTTTTATAAAAATATAATTGAGAATAAGGTCTCCACGTCTTTTAAAGTTAACCGTTAATTGTAATTATATTAAAAAAGAGATATATGTTGTCATGGACTCAAAAACATAGAAGACCACTTGATTCTGGGGTTCTGTTGTACCCATATGATAAAATGATATATAATCTATTGGGATTATAAAATATTTTTTGCACTCTTTTGCGTACATTTTTGATACCCTCCACCAGCTACTTTTATATTAATACTTTTTTAATTGATCAAATATTTGTAGAAATAAGTTTTCTCATGTCTTAAATAGAAATGTGCATGTATAAATGTGTGTGAAAGATTTAAGGATTTATATATATATATATATATATATATATATATATATATATATATATATAAAATTCATGAGAGTCATCAAGGCTAGTATAGAACTTGGTTCTGCAGTTTTTTGTCCAGATACGATTATATTAAACATAATTATGAACTTAAACGCCCTATTAGTCCGGTTCAGTTGTATGGGGGCAACTGAAACAATGGACCGATGTTAACCATTTTCAACAGGCTTCGTTTCCTGTACCAAAGAAGATCATGTACCAAATTTCATTGAATTATCTTCAAAATTGCGATCTGTAGTTTGATTACAAGGTTTACAAGCCCTATTCGGGGGTTCAGTTGTATGAGGGCTAGGTGAGATAATGGACCGATGTTAACCATTTTCAATAGACTTCGTCTCTGGTACCATAGAAGATCGTGTGACAAATTTCATTATCTTCAAAATTGCGACCCCTAGTTTGATTACAATGTTTACAAGGCCTTATGCAGGGTTCAGTTGTATGGGGGCTAGGTGAAATAATGGACCGATTGTAACCAGGCTTCTTATATATATATATATATATATATATATATATATATATATATATATATATATATATATAACAGGCTTCTTACCTGGGACAATAGAAGAACATGTACCAAATTTCATTGAATTATCTTCAAAATTGCGACCTGTAGTTTGATTACAAGGTTTACATGGACGGACGGACGGACAGACGGACGGACATAGCTAAATCGACTCAGGAAATGATTCTAAGCCGATTGGTATACTTTAATGTAGGTATAGGACCAATATTATTGTGCGTTACAAACATCAGCACAAACCCAATATACCCTCCCCACTAAAGTGGTGTAGGGTATAAAAACCACTAAAATATTAGCAAATGCAACAAATTTCACTCTAGAAAAAATATATTTATTGTTTATGAGCAAAAAGTACCAATTTTTACCGTTTTTCCCCTTTGGCCCTTTCTGGGCCATGTTACGAAAAAAATATAGACATTTAAGCTTCCTAGTGTAGATCTATCAATTTTTTAAAATTGGTGTGGTTGTAACATGTACTGGCGTAATTGGAACATGCACAAAATGTGCAAAAAGTACCAAAAATACAAATATTTTCCTGTATTTTAAATTTTTTTAAATACTAATATTTAAGTGATATTATCTTAAGTATTTTTTCACTCATATTTAAAATTTTGACTCTATAAATATCTTTTTTACAAATGAATGTAGAATGCCCTCTTTTTCCCGTTTTTACACCCTGAAAGGTTGGCA